TTTTTTTTTTTTTTTTTTTGCTATTGTTCATTCTCCTATTTGCTCTTCCATACCTTTCATATTTTGTCCCCTCCTCCTCAGATGTGCATAAGCATGGCCCCGCTGTGAGGACATGTGTCATTGCAGGGTCTGTTCTCTCTGTCGGTCTTTCTGTGTCTTCCACATGCACGGTTTCTTCCCATTAGAGAGGTGATCTCTTACTCCCACCTTGTTTGGAGCACTAAGGGACACCCATTGATATAAGCATGCATTCCCGTGGTGACAAGAGATGGGCAGTAGGAAATCTGAAAATGTTAGTCTCAGCTAAAACACAAGGAATCGGGCTGCTTTTGAAGAGTTTGGGGACTCTGAGCTCTTGAAGTTAGATTGAAAGCAGCTTTAGCAAGCATCCTGGGGCATGGGGGCGTGGCACGGGTTGGGAAATTGGGAGCTGGTTGGATTTGACTAGTCCCGACTTTGGGCCAGACTGGGAAAGGGCAGTATCGTCACAGTCTCTGTGTGCATTTCATTGTTTTTCTCTAAATATAACATCGAATCAGAATCTCCAGGGCTGAAATTATTTACACGCACAGTCACAAGAGGTTCTAGGTATGGCCAGGTTAGAGAACCAGAGAGAATCCCTGATACAGTCAAAATGATACAGTAATGCCTATTAGTAATCTCCAAAAAACAATTATCTACCTTCATTGATGGACAGATGAATGCTTAGAGCAGTGTTCCTGGTTGACATTCCTTTCCCTTCTTTTTTAGCGAGTGATATTGTACTGTCTTTGGTAATCCAAAACTGAAATGCATGGGGGATATAATTTTTCTATAAATGGAGTTAAACATATTTATAGTTTATACATATTTATGATGTCCTAACATTTATATTTTTGTATAGATGTATATGTTTTAGTGCGTGTATCCCCAGCCTTCCCTGTTTGTTCTGTTGTCTGACTTTTCCGGAATTGAAAGGCAGACCTTCAGAGTTTATTTTAAAAGGGCCACCACAAATCAGTTTGGAAAGAAAGAAATATTTTTGCAAATGACTTTAGAACAGTTTGTTGCTACGGTATCTGTGTAAATGTTTGGTTATTCAGCACACATTATACACTAGAATTGCAGACAGATAAAATTAGATGCAAATAAAATATTTTGAAATGTTTAAAGGGGAAAAAAAAGGCAGATTTCTGGAACGGGAGGAATTTCAAATCCTAAAAGAGAACGGAGGAAATCACAAAGAAGGCCAGTGCATGTCATTGAAACAAAAAAACTCAAACACACCCAAATGAGTTACCAAAAGCGGATCTTCCACAGAAAACATTGGGAGCCCTTGGTTTAGAGAAGATCGCGGTGATGGGGACAGTCCCATGTGTGTGGCTAATGTTACATGCGCTCCATTTTTACGTGACCAAAGGGAACATGCAGAACTCATCGTGGTCATTGGCCACATGGACTACGGTGCCGTGTACTCCTGGCAAAGTAGCATCTGAGACCATGGCACGTCCTGTTACTCGTTATAATCAATTTAGTAGTCAAGGAAAATAGTCCTTTGGAGGGGAACCCTCAAATTGGCATGAATTATCAAAAGTCATTTACCCCTCTTTGGTGCGCTTCATTTCCTTTCCTTTCTTGTATGAATTCGTGAGACATTTACCGCGTATACATACTCTCTCACCATGTTGATGCTTTTCTGTGCCCGAGGTTATAAATAAAGAGTAAGAGAGGTCAATAATGTGATTACAACGAAAACACATTCCTCAAATCTTGGACGTGGTGCTGCCAGCCTTCTCCTATTTGGAAAAACACAGCCTTCCTCTCCTCCCTATAAATTTCTCACTTCCTCAACATCTATTCATCCAGTTTCTGAATTTCTCAGATCTTCGATTTTGCATTGCCTCCTGCCCGCTTTATTAGCTGGTTCACTGCCAACTAACACCTCTCTCCCCGAGTAGGCGAAATAAAAGACTCTGGGATTGACCTGGTCCCCTGTTAGCAACCCTGATGAAAAGCTCCACCAGAAAGAGTGAAATCATAGTATAAAATGAAGTTTGGGGGGGGGGGGATCCATGGGGTGTTATCCTCGGTGACATTCCTGTTGTCCGTAATTGAAGGTGACCGTATGACTGTCGAGAAAATGGACAAAATGGAGAGTGCCCCAGGTTAGTAATGAAGGAACTTTGCTTTGTCTCAACTAGGTCACTTGCTTAGCCACGTGGCTGGTCTGTCTCCTTATTTTACCCATGTGATGTCCTCGTTGGGTTGGCCGATCTCGCAAATGCCTCAGTGTTCTGTGGTTCCCTCTGAAGGTCATGAAACGAATGCGCACCGAGCAGATTCAGATGGCAGTGTCCTGCTACCTCAAACGCCGGCAGTATGTGGACTCCGATGGTCCCCTAAAGCAAGGACTGCGGCTGTCACAGACTGCTGAGGAGATGGCAGCCAACCTCACAGGTACCCGCGGGCCCGCTCTGGGGGGGGGGGCCGGAGTGTCCGTGACAGGTCACACTTCTCCGGAGGCCTCGGTGGGCACCACCAGATGATGGTGCTGGCCTTCAGAGATGCTATCTACCCTTCAAAGCCGCTCCTAGAAGCCTCCTGTCGTAATCCATCCCGCCTCGGAATTCTAAGTGGTTTTGTCTGTATCTGATGTTACGTGCGACCTGTCCTTCTGTGAACTCCCATGCGACAGGACCCGGAGGGCCAGGGTTTCTGTCCCCTTCCTGCACTCATCCCTCTGCTGTAGCCCGGAGCCTGGCCCACGGGAGTCAGGTTTGCTGGGTGAACGAATACTTTGGGACCAGTGGTTGGAAAGATTGGCATCCTAGATATGCTCCTGAAGTTCTAAATTTGGGTGTTGTTTCTTGTTTTGAAATCAGATGCTTTTTCGGGGGGAAAAAAAAAGTGTCTTAAATCTGTCCAGAGTAACAAACACTTATTACTTAGCTATGCTGTCAGTTCGGTTTTTATGTAATAGAATTTTCTTCTATTGGATTCGTGTACTGGAGATTTGGGGGGAAAAAACGAATGGCTGCAGTGTTTTTAGGGTGACTGTGCCCTTTAATGGCTGCAGGTGGAGTTCGACATTGCAGTGACTTCTCCAGCATAGCCCTGATTCCTCTTATCTGCTCAGACTGGACTCTTCTCTTTTTTATTCTTGCACTTCGTTCTGCTCTTCTGAGTATCTGCCTCCACCTCCTCCTTCCCTTAATGGTTTCAGCCTCCATACTGGTAGCAGCAGCTTCCTCTGCCTCCCTGTATTACCTCCAAAATCATGAAGCCAGACCCTGCGTGCTCTTAGGGTATGTTGCCATTGCTGTAGAGGAAGAATGATGGGACGGTAAAAACCTGAGGGTGTCCTCAAAGGGGTGGTTCCTGACTCCCCCCGAGACCGTAGAAGTAGCCCAGTCAGGCATCTGCCTTCCTGTTCCTCAGCATCAAATCCACTCCGTTCTTCCTTTCTTTCAGACTGGGTTACCCTCGACAAGAACGGAGCCAGATGACAGACGTGGAATAAATTACTACATGCCTTATTATTTCTAGTAGGATGGCCAGTTTATAGCGCCAGAGTAATTCCTTGTAAACTTGCCATCACAGCCCTTGGTGTGCATTAATCATCTCCGGCTGCCCTGTATTCATTAGAACCTGGGAACAGTAATTCTCTGCAGTTGTTGGTAGAAGATAGAAGCAAGAGCTATTACACAGACTTCCAGAACATGACTCTTAGTTGCCTTAGTTAAGACATAATGGCTTCCTAGGAAGGTCTCTGTTGTCCCTGGAAAACCACCAAGAAATGTGAGAAACATGAAATGTGATCATCCTAAGATTTTGTCCGAGGTCTTTCTGTCAGTTGAGCAATCTGAATAATATGTCTTCATTCAGCAGACCACCTATTGAATATCTGCTATTGCCAGGTGCTGAAAAGTCCTAGAGATAACTAAGGTTAGGATCCTAGCTCCTAAAGAGCTTAACATTGTAGCCAGGAAATGAGGCAGATAAATCACTGATGATAGGAGGGTATGATGTAGTAAGTTCCACAAAGGGAGAATGCCTCAGGTTCTGTAGGGACAAAGACGATGGTCGTCTCAATTAGCCTAGCAGGTCAAGGATTGCTTCCCAAAGGTCTCGTGGTTGGGACGCCTGAGCGGCTCAGTTAAGCATCTGACTCTCGATTTCAGCTCAGGTCATGGTCTCACCGTCATGAGATCAAGCCCCGCATCAGGCTCCACACCAGACATGGAGCCTACTTAAGATTCTCTTTCTCCCTCTTCCTCTGCCCCTCCCCCACTCACATATGTGCACTCGCGCGCGCTCTCTCTCTCTCCCTTAAAAATTAATTAATTGAAAAGAAAAAGGTCTCGTGGTTCCTAGCATACAGTCAGGGGTTAGTAAATAGAAGGGATGAGCTAGGTTTCAAAAGAACCATTAGGAGTTCACCAGGGGCCAGTGGAAGGAGGGTATCTAAATTCTCAAATGTGAATTATGGAAAGATCACTTTGGTGGCTGTGGTGTTTGGGGAAGGCCCAGGGTAGAACCAGGGAAACCACTTACAAGGCCACAGAATAATCCAGTGAAAAGTGAGGACGACCTGAGTTAAGGACGCGGTAACAGTGGAGAGGAGAGGAAAGATCTGAGGAACTTACAGGACTTGGTGACTGGTTAACTCAAGTTGGGAGCCTCATGGAGGACAGAAAGGAGTCCCCTTCTTCCATGTGCAGCATAGTCTCCTGCTTTAGGCTGTCGCTCTGAGTTCCAGTGGGGCACACTGACTTCTCATCTGTACCCCCTCCCTGTACATTTTATGTTGTGGCTGCTTCAGACCTGCTGCATTAGATTCCACTCCTACATTATATTCCATTTTCTGAAATCTGTTAATGTTTCATCCAGATTATTAAAGATGGCTCCCGCGGCCCCCAGCCACCTTTCCCCAGTGTCTCCCTCCTCCCACAGAAAGGGTGAGGGAATGTCGTTTTTCTTCTTAGAAAGCATAAATTCATAGTATGGAGACTAAGTGCATGTCTACGTACTGAATATTAAGACTCCAGCCTTCTTGGGGTGCCTGGATGGCTCAGTCGGTTTTAAGCATCCGACTTTGGCTCAGGGCATGATGTCGTGGTTCATGGGTTCGAGCCCCGCATCGGGCTCTGTGCTGACAGCTCAGAGCCTGGAGCCTGCTTCCGATTCTGTGTCCCTCACTCTCTGCCCCTCCTCCACTCATGCTCCGTTTCTCTCTCTCTCAAAAATAGATAAACATTAAAAAAAAAAAAAAAAAAAAAA